TTTACTTCCTATATTTCATCTTCATACTTTTCTACTGGATGGTTAAGACCAAGGTAAAGCAGAACCTATGCAACAAGAGTTGTAGCTTTTCTATAACTCTTAAGGTATGTAAGAAATTTAGAGGACTATTCACTGATTTTTGTTGTCATATTTTTTTTATTTTTTTGAGACAGTCTCTCACTGTACAGTCCAGGCTGACCTTGAACTTACTATATGGCCCAGGCTAGGCTTAAATTCAGACTCATCTTTACCTTAGCCTCCAGAGTACTAGGGTTACAGATGTGTGTTCTTATACCTAGCTATATTGTTGTCTTTTATGAAGTAATAGTTTATATACCAATAGTACGTGACATAAATATAGTAGGCTGTATGTAAACTTCTGAAATGCATAGGTAATAAATTGGGTTTTTCTCATGTTTTTCTCTTCCTGCTTAGCTCCTGGGCTATAGTGAAAAGCCGATAAATCTACAGATGTTTATTGGAACAGCAGATGATCGATATTTACGACCTCATGCATTTTACCAGGTGCATCGAATCACTGGAAAGACAGTTGCCACTGCAAGCCAAGAAATAATAATTGCCAGCACAAAAGTTCTAGAAATTCCACTTCTTCCTGAAAATAATATGTCAGCCAGGTATCTTGAAACATACTTCAAAGTATACATTTCTTTTCCTGAATTTCAAACTATTTTTTAGCATAAGAATAAAATGATGTAGTATGCTGGCACATACCTGTAATCCCAGCACTCAAGAGGTGAGGCAGGAGGATTGCTATGAGCTCAAGCCCAGCCTGAACTACATAGCAAAATTCTGTCTCAAAAAAAATTAATCATAGCTTTAAGTTAACTAAATGATATTATGTAAATAATTGTAGCACATTGCTAAGGATAGTAACATATTTCAAAAAAGAAAATTGAATTGAGCAAACTCTTGTGGGTTCTATATTTCTAGTGAGACATTATCATAGGTGATAAAATACATGGACTTTCACCAAGTTAATTACAGTTTATTAATGGAGTGTACAGTAAATAATTTCAGAAAAATTTTAATTGTTAAGTGTACTTAAGGAAAACTTTTGACTTTACCAGCAGGCATAGCATTTGCCTCATTGTCCAGAAAGTGTGATATGGCTAGCCTTTGAATGAGACTGACAGCAAGTAGGCTTCTTTTGTTTGCTTTAGGATCTTTTTCCTTGTAGCATCAGAAGCATTTGAACATATGGTTAGTGAACTGAAGAGGAAAATTTAAAACTCACCTTTAAACCTTCCTTTTCTGAAAACTCAAAAAATTTGTAGCTGTGAGTCAGTTTCCACTCATTCTTCAGGGTAGTCAAAGATGAACCAAGTTAGAAAATTACTGGAAACTTGTTATGCTTCTTAGTATAAGAAATAACCATATAAACACTCAGTCTGAAATGATCTTCATACTTCTAAGTGTGAAAGTCATGTTAAAATTCATGGTATTTTCAGATTGTTTGTTACCACATATACACAGTCTTCTTTGAACTTGAGTGACTAAGTTCTAAGTGGGTATTTCCTAATGAGCTGGTAAATTTTGCTCTGTCAGACCAAAAAAAACCTATAAAAACTACTTTTTATTTACATTTTGCATTGGTTTCCAGGAAGTTCATGGTCAAACTCAATCATAATAATTAATATAATTTGTAGGTAGACCTAGTGTTGCACACCTGTAGTCCTACCACTTGGGAAACTGATGTAGGCAGGAGGATCCCTGTAAGTTTGAGCACAGCCTTGCCTGTATAATGAGTTTAAGCCCCATCTGAATTACAGAGCAAGACCCTGTCTAAAAAAAAGTAATTTGTAGAACCTAGGTTTAGACTGTATTTTTTTTTCTCCTCTACTTTAATTTTATTTTTTGTTTCTCTTTCCTTGGCCTTATTGGTATTTATATTGTAGAATGCCATGCATTCTCTTTATAACTAATGTATAAGTCAATCACTGAAAAGAAAAAGACCCACTTTCCCAAAAATAAGACCTTGCTGGAAAATAAGGATCCTGGAAACTAGAGATCAAAAATGCCAGTTGAGGGGCTGGTGAGATGGCTCAGTGGTCTAAAGCACCTACTTAGAACAAGCTTAGCAAAGCACAGGGACGGTGGTTCAATCCCCCAGCACCACA